TCTGTTTGTGGCAGACTTACTCACACATTAATTAGTAACGCACTGTTTTTGTGGGTAATATTTCAAAAGCTTAGGTTAATATTACAAAGTACTTTAAACCTTAGCGCATTTTCTAAAAGTAGTAAAAGAAAATTGAATTCTTAAGAATGTAATACTATGGCCTCCTTTCCAATCAAAATTAATTCTAAGAAAATTGCTATATCAAAAAGACCTTTGCTGTCAGAACATATTAATATCATTGTGGAACAAGCAGAAAAATTATGGACAATAATTTCATCTTCTTTCTACGCAACGTTAAAAATACAAGAAGAAGTATGTTTGGCTTTCGCAAGCATGCGTATCTAAAGAGCCACAAAATTCCATTGATGCTTTTTCCGATGAAAACCTAGCTAACATCAAAACGGAACGTTTATTACCTAAAAATGTTGCATTAGGCAATCGAAAAAGGAAATTTATGAATTGAAATTGATATATCGTTGGGCAAAACAGAAATGAAGAAAAAAAGCTTTTACATTTTTTTTGTATTATTTTCACAAATAGCCACATTAAAATGACATTTTCCGATAAGGTAATAATTTTCCTTTCAATAAATTCTATTTGACATATTTTTCGAACATTTACTGAGCCTAATATAGTTTCAGAACAAAGTGACATAGATTAGGTTTTTAGGATCAAAAAACTTCATTTTAGTTTTATATCTGCAACTTAAATCAAATTTTTAACTGAAAATTCTAAGTTTAAGGATAGAATTGGAATGGTCCAACGACTGCAAACAAGAACTGATTTTCGGAAATAGGTACTTCATTTTCGAACTTGATTTGAATTTAAAATTTCCGTTGAAAATATTTGTTTACATTTCTTAGTCTTTATCGAATTTATAAAATTTATTTTTTTTAAAATGGTCAGAAATTGTGTAATTACTGGTTGTAAAGGAAAGAAAACCAATAAAATTCCTCTGTTTGAACTTCCAAAAAGCTCTGTGCATAGAGATAAGTGGATTGAATTTCTAAAATTGCATAATATTGAATATTGCTCTGAAAAAAAAATATTTCTTGTGTATTCTTGAATTTATTTATAGACAGCTTAATTGTTTTACCTTATGTTCTGATCCTTCCTTTAACCAGAAATTCATTAATACAGTAATTGCACAAATTGAAGTCGATTTTGAACATTGTCAAGATAGAATTGATAAATTATTAAAAGTTTTTGTTGAATTTAGAGTAAAATTACAATTTCAAAGTCGATTGGTACATAAAAGGAATAATTTTGCTTCAAAAAATAACTAAAGTAATATATTTTTATTAATTCCCTAACGATCATTTATTTTTTAAAAAATTTAATAGTTCGAAACAGTTCGAAATTTTTCGAATTTCAGTTCGAATTTTTCGAATCTAACTGAAGTTTTCTTTGTTTGCAGTCGTTGGGGAATGGTCAGAACCAACGTTAATTAAAACTGTTTAAACCAATTCTATCTTATATAGTAGCTTCAAAACTTGTCAGAAACAAAAAAATGCAAACGATTTATTTTAATAATTCTTACAAATCCGATTGAGATTATAAAAAAGTATGACATGGATCACCTTATTCAATTTTAAAACAATCTTACACCATTTCAAATTCCTTATTTTATTCAATTTCTTATTTTTTTTATTTATCCTATTAATAACCATTAAAATTCTCATTATTGCATATTATATTGATTTTTTAGTTCTTTATAAATAAAAATCAACAAGAAACAATACATATAATACGGTGTACGTAAAGGGAGAGAATAACAAGAAGAGTAACAAATCACTAAAGTGCCCTTTCAGGGCTTCTTCAAGTCACCATAAAGTAATAAAAATAAGAAGCGCACATATAATAATATAATACGAATGAAATGAAATAAAGAAAAAAAGGAAAGGAAATGGCACTTCATAGTAGCTTTTTTTATTATTCTTGTTGCTATTTAGTTGCCTGTGTTGTTTTATTTATTTTCATGTTCAACATGTTAGGTCGAAAAGTAGTAAAGGAAAAGCACCAAGAATGTAGAACATGAAACTTAAAAAGATTTTATTCATTGAACAATAGACATTGCGGTATGCAAATTTGAGTAGAAAAACTACTTTAGTTTTTCCATTGTTTTTTCAAAAATTGTATGATTGAACTCGAGTTGAAAATAATTCCATTTAGATATTGAAATCATTAAATTAGTTTAATTTATGCATGTGCAAGTTTTCTCTAATAATTTCCTATCTTTCTTACCGCACGACTTTTAAGTGGATTTATATTTTGCTGTTATAAATGTTATTAAAACTCAATATAGATATTTCATTAAGTTATCTTGTTTGACTGTTTATTTTATGAATTCCTTAGACAAACCAGATGGAAGAAATGCTTGCATAATTTAGTGGAATATTTTATGAGAGTCGAAATGAAGACATCAATCAATCGAGTAATAAAAATGTGCGATAATATTAATTACTGATAGCTTTCTAAATTAGCTAAATACATTGGAAATCATATGATGAAAATTCTACCAAAAATTCGATAATCAAATAAATAGGAGTTTTAAAGCCGATAAGATATCATATAAACTTTTAAAACTATTTAATAAAGCTAGGCCGGTAGTCAATCACCTCAAGAAAAATCAATTTCAATCTATATCTGTAAAATAGTCAAGTGTGGAATAAATTTTTATTGCTAAAGTTGTGATATTTTTATGATCATTTTTTTGTAACAATTGAGAAATATCCACCCAAAAAAAGTATTTGATTTGATTTATTCAAAATTCTGTGTATTTATTTTTAAATAAAAAAATATTAATAATTGGTAAAGAAATTTTTTTATGACAAAGCTAAATTATCTGTTTTTTCGCTCTCGTATTACAAAACATTTATCTCCTACGCACAGATTTAAAAAAAAACTACGGATCTTTAGTAATAAACAAGAAAGTTTCCAACTCATCGTAAACTATACAAAAGTCATAATAAATTAATTATCACTACAACAACAGGAATCACCTGCTTGAGAATTTATGGATGTTATCATATGCTTAAGTAAGTATATTGCTATATTTTTTGGCAGTAATCCTCAGCATCCAAAAACAGAATAGCATCAAAAAAAAATAAACCTTTTTCGCACAATATAAAATTTTACAAGAAAATTGTTTTAGGCTTCAAAAATAAACTTTTTGAATTTTCTCTTAAGCTTGCCGACATCAAGATTTTGTTTGAAAGAGAAAAGATTGTGTAGAGAGAATTTTTTTCTATGAATATGGCACTTAGTAAGCAATAAAAGCCAGACACACGTAGTGCTCTAAATCTCTTTTAAATTGTAAAAATAAACAACATGAGTAGAAAGAAAAATATAATGTACATCTAAGCAAAACACAGAGTGTTCTGTGTGAAAGTATTCGAGGTATCATAGTAACAAAGTGAGATGAGAAGGGAGAAGAAACATTATAGGCAATGCATGTGTTGTTGCTGTTGCTAATATTTTTTAAAGCTTGCAAAAAAGGAATGAGCAAGAAAAGTGCTATAATGTCCTTAGAAAAATGGTAATGACATAAACTCAACTTAACTTACACCCACAAACGTAATAATAAATATACACGTTGTTGTTATTGTTGTTGCCAGTGCTTTATAAGAAGTTGTCCTACGATATTTATAAAGGAAAGCAAAGAAGCAAACATGACTTCAAGAAGAGAAAGAAAAAGGGAAGCAAGAAATAAAAAAAATATATTATGCGTCTCATAAAGCCAGATGGTGAAAGATTACTTTATCATCTTTCCGATATATATTTCATAATCTTCCCTTCTTCCTTCCTTTATGCTATATCTTTTTATTGTACCTGTCTCTCAACTATACTGACATAGGATACAACGAACTGAGCAACGAATTGAATGTCGCGAAAAATTATTTTTTTAAGAAAATTTCTTTTCATTTTTCTCTTCTCTTCTACTATGTCGAGTGATTGATTTTTGTCATTAGAATGTGACTGCTGCGTAAAAAAAGCTCTTCCGTTATGCTATAAGTTAGAGAATGTATACACATATTTTTACGATATTGGATGTGTCAGAAGAAAATAAATTTTCTAGATTTTTTTTATACAGTCATATGTGAAACGAAAAAAACGCAAATACATCATTACTGTGCAACTCAAGTTTTATAGAAAGTGAAGCAATGAATGGATACTTTTTTGATTAATTTGCCATGTCATCATATGATACGGATATTGTATATTTTCTGTCGTGATAAATATTATGAAAATTATTAAGGATTTTTTATCGATCTAATTTCTGGTTCGTGTTAAATCTATTACTCTAAATCTACATAAAACCATAAATATGTTGTCATGATTTTATAAGCTATGCCTCAAAATTATGAATAAAAAAAATTATATTGACTTTTTCATCAACTTTAATAGTGATTGTTTTCTAGCAATCAATAGAACCACATTTAAATTATGTAACTCCTTGCTCCATCTCACTTTATCTTATTAGTCCCATCTGCCCTTATTTCCGTTATAATCATTTTGTTTAGACATACATAAATGTACACTGCTAACTCAATAGTATCATGTGTATTAAGACTATATTGTGGCTTATGGGAACTAAAATTTTTTTTAAGCTAATGGAACTGAATAAATAAAAAATTGCGTTATTGTGTTCATTTACAGAACACGTTATAGGACAAAAGATTGATTATTTGTTATTCATCAAAATGAAGCTCAAGTTGGAAAATAAAAAAAGAAAAATGTTTGAAGAACTTTTTGAATTAAAAAAAAATAGTTGTAGATTTAAATATGACACATAATGGCTTCTCATTTTTTATGCAAAATCCCTTTTTCCTTTTCCTGATGCTTTTATCTCATCCAAAACTATTATTATAATAGTTGTCACACAACATAATCCAACACATATAACACTCCTCCTTATTCATGATCGATAAAATAATAAGTGAGAGAGAATTTTCGCAACCTCTTTACCCAGAAAATTCGGAAAAAATCTTTTTACTTACCAGCTCAAACTTGTCAAAGCTGTTGAAATAACGTTGACTGTTTGAATTTCGATGATAGTAATCCATTTTTCTCTATTAACAAGTATAGATGATATAATAAAACGTTGCAATGCGGAAGTGATTAATAATGCTGTCAAAAGGAAATTTTTATAAGTTTTGACTGATGTCGATGTTTTATGGCTCCTTATAGTTTTAGTTTGATATTTTCTTTCGGATTTCGAGGTATTTTTTAGTGAGATCTTTTTCTATTCTTTTTTTTTCTTCCACTGACTTCTTTTTTCTCATTCAACTTTCCATCATTTTAATATGCAAATTGAAGTTTCTGAAAGAAAAGAAAATATATGATGAAAACCTCCAAGATTCGAGATATTGTCAAAAACTTTTTAAGCTTCGATGAGAAAGAAAAAAAGTTAAGATGCTTTTATTAGTGATTTTCATGCAAAAATCTTCACATAAACCGAAATGATTATGAACACCGTTGAAAGTTTTCTTTAGTTTTTGCATTTGTATGCATTTTGTTGTGAAAGTTTTTCTATATTTTTTTCATAACTCACGGATTTATTTCCGAACATTTGTCTGTTTCAATATCTTTCTTTAAAAACTTCTTATGCTTTTCTTCAATAATCTCTGATGATATACTACACTGTATAAGTTTAAGAAATGCAATAAGTAAACTTTCACATAAAAAGCACTTTTAATCTAAAAGTTAATTGAAGTAAACTTGAATAAAAGTACCTCTGTATCTTATCTGAATGAGAGTAAACAAATTAACTGAACAGTGTTAAGCAAACATTATCAAATGATGAAAAATTCAACTTAATGCTGTAATGTTATCAAAGATATTCTGAATGATTTTCTTTTTTTTTGTAATCCTTATAAAGTGATATATATTTTAAAAATAAGATATGCATAAATGTTTAACAATTTGACATGCAATATATGACATGCGATATGTGTTAAATTAAAATTTATAATGAAAATTAATCTAGAAATTAGAACACAAAAAACAGAAAAAATGGAAAAATTGATTACTGCTAAATGCTATTCAACATACTGTAAAATTTAAAAAAAAAAATGTCGTAAAAGTTTTTATTCAAAATATAATTTATGATTTAGATCCTTTTTCATTGTTCATTGATATGAAATGTTTTTTCAACAAATTTAACCTTGTTCCTCCTCTTTTACATTTTAGAGAACACATTTCAATATTTGTGATTTCCTTATAAGAAAAAATAAAAGCAGCAGCAGCAACAAAAACAAACAAACAAAGTGTAAAAGAGAGCATTGAATAAAAGGAAAATTTTGAATTTTGTTCAAAAGCGCCCACAAAATTATTATAGTACACAAGAAAGGAGCTCTTTGAACATTGAAATTATGTGTAATAAGATGCTTTCTTTATTTTACTCGAATTTCTTGATTTCATTCTTTCTTCGTCTATCTTCTTGTATTTTACCATCATCCTAATCTTGTTTAAGCTTTCATCTTGTTTTAGGGTTTGACACTAAGTTCACATTTTATAAAATAATGCATGTCCATAAAAATTGTAATTTTCGAAAACAAATTGTTTAATGGATTTTTTCCTAATAATAACAATTTTACAGGAAACTTACAAAAACCAAGACTTGACTTTTTATATTCACACCGTTTTCACGTGTGAATCTATTGGTTTTGTTCAGATTGAAAAATCAGTTTTTCGCATTTTGTGAAAAAACAAAGCAAAATTGGTTATAAAAGGTCACAGAAGAAAAGTTTGTGCCTGAAATTTTACATCATTTTCAAAAAACAAATTTCAAATTGATTGTGGCATTGCTGAGAAAATCGCAAAATACGCTTTCTGTAAGCAAACAAGCAAGCAAGCAAGCAAGTTAATAAGCAAGAAATCTCAATAACGAGACATTGTAGAGACTTCTAGTTTTTTACATTTGATCCGTGCTGCTCTATAGAAGAGCTGTATTGTTTTTGGGCAAAGTAGGAACAGCCGTTGCTTCAGAAAAAGCAAAAAACTTTCCTTTCTTACGAATTTTTCAAATTAAAATTTCACTGCAATTTTTTTTTATTTTAAATTAAACTTTGGATGAAAAAAATTTTTTTTAAGCAAAGAACCAAGTAGGAAATACATTTTCAATTTTGCATTAGGGGCGACCCTAGTCAAAATCAATTTTTTCACTTTTTTTCTTCGAGGGTTTATACAAATGGATTGAAACTTTGCATAAATATTCACGTGCTTAAAACAAATACAAATAAAACATCCTAAAATTCTTTTGAGCAAAGAACCAAGTAGAAAATACATTTTCAATTTTGGATTAGGGCCGACCCTAGTCAAAATCAGTTTGTCACTTTTTTCTTCGAGGGTTTATCCAAATGGATTGAAAATTTTTATAAATATTCTAGTGCTTAAAACAAATACAAATAAAACATTTTAAAATTTTTTTGAGCAAAGAACCAAGTAGGAAATACATTTTCAATTTTGGACTAGGGGCGACCCTAGTCAAAATCAATTTTTTCACTTTTTTTCTTCGAGGGTTTATACAAATGGATTGAAACTTTGCATAAATATCTGGTGCTGAAAACAAATACAAATTAAACATTCCAAAATTTTTTTGAGCAAAGAACCAAGTAGGAAATACATTTTCAATTTTGGACTAGGGGCGACCCTAGTCAAAATCAATTTTTTCACTTTTTTTCTTCGAGGGTTTACACAAATGGATTGAAACTTTGCATAAATATTATAGTGCTTAAAACAAATAAAAATAAAACATCCTAAAATTTTTTTGAGCAAAGAACCAAGTAGGAAATACATTTTCAATTATGAACTTGGGACAAGTCTAGTCAAAATCTAGTTTTTCACTTTTTTTCTTCGAAGGTTTATCCAATTACAGTAAAACTTTGTGTGAGTATACTAATATTTATACAAAACAGTTTTAAATATCTAAAGCAAGAAATGTATTCTATATGTCGTCAGACCCAAATTTTATAAATTTGGTTGCACATTCAAAAACAACGTGACTTAAAATATTGTCCAAAAAATGATTTTTATTAATTCGGAAATGTGTGACCTGAAGATTAGAATGCTCATACAAAGTTTTACTGTATTTGGATTTATCCTCGAAGAAAAAAGTGAAAAACTAGATTTTGACTGGACCTGTCCCAAATTCACAATTGAAAATGTATTCCTTACTTGGTTCTTTGCTCAAAAAAATTCTAGGATGTTTTATTTGCATTTTTTAAGCATTAAAATTATTATGCAAAGTTTCAATCCATTTGGATAAACCCTCAAAGAAAAAAGTGACAAAATTGATTTTGACTAGGGTCGCCCCTAGCACTAGAATATTTATGCAAAGTTTCAATCCATTTGGATAAACCCTCAAAGAAAAAAGTGACAAAATTGATTTTGACTAGAGTCGCCCCTAGTCCAAAATTGAAAATGTATTTCCTACTTTGTTCTTTGCTCAAAAAAATTTTAGGATGTTTTATTTGCATTTTTTTAAGCACTAAAATTATTATGCAAAGTTTCAATCCATTTGGATAAACCCTCGAAGAAAAAATTGACAAAATTGATTTTGACTAGGGTCGCCCCTAGTCCAAAATGTGTTTCCTACTTGGTTCTTTGCTCAAAAAAATTTTAGGATGTTTTATTTGTATTTTTTTTAAGCACTAGAATATTTATGCAAAGTTTTATTCTATTTGGATAAACCTCAAAGAAAAAAGTGACAAAATTGATTTTGACTAGGGTCGCCCCTAGTCCAAAATTGAAAATTGATTTTCTATGGCGTACTTTTGTCAAAAAAATTTTTTGGATGTTTTATTTGAATTGACATAATTCTGACATAAATCACATCCCAATATTACTTTTTGTAATGCATAGCTTAAAAAAAACGAAATCTAAAATTTCGACTACCCCATCTGAATTTTGTTCATACTCTTCACTGTGGAAACCAAAAAACAAGTTCTTTATTTTAAAACACTTGACAAAATAGCGATATAATTCAGGATTAATTACTTTTTAATAATATTTTAACATTTACGAGAAAATGTGGTTCAAATAAGTGTGAAGTATGGCCGAGATTTGGACCAAAATCAGCTATACTGGTTCATAGTGTTCCCGAGGGTGACAAAATTCAAACTAAGTGTTTTTGTAGCTGACATAATTATGACATAAATTAGGTATATCTTTTGATCTTATGCTGAGCAAATCTTGGTCTATCCATAAGACTTTTGATGGTACAGTGTGAATATATCCGCATTGGGTTTCTACCCGATACACTAGTTTATTTAAGTTTTCCCTCGCATAACTACAAACATGAAATATACACCATATTTATTTTTGGGATTAACTAGATTCAATCAATAGTTCACTCGATGAACATAAATGTCCGTAAATAAAGCTATAAATTAATAAATACAATATATTAAAACTAATGTGAATGAATAAATAAATGTAAAAACCTTCAATTGTCAAAAAGAAAGAACCAACTCAGCTGAATGTTTATTAATTGAACAAATAGTTTTAAATGCAAGGGATGAATGCATAAATCAAGGGATGATAACATATATGTGAATAAATATATTGGAGAAATCACAACACATGAATGTCAGTCATTATATCAAATTTTGGGTGTTCAATCAGGAAACATTTTCGATGATTCGAAAAAATGATGAAAGGTAATAAAACAAACTTTATTGTAAAAATTGTTTTTTTCGTGTATTTTCTCCACAACAATATTTTAAGTGGTCCAAAATCATCAAAGCATAAAGTAGATGAAAAACCATCAAACCATGAAACACAATTTTTTCATCTTTTTGCAAAAAACAAGTTTCTACTAGCTCATGTGGGGTAGATTTTTAGTACACATTACATTTATGTAAAGCTATGGAAAAAAAATAAGCTTTCTAGCCTCAGTAAAATAAAAAGTTTGTTATCCCGCCTTCTGATGTAAAATTTTAGTTATTTTCCTTGTTCATCTGAATATTATACAACCACAAACCTCTTTTGTTGTGTTTGGTATCATAAACATGAAATCTAAACAAATTATTATTTGATATTCACACTTCATGTCACCAATATTAAAAATGTCTGCTCAATTGAGACTTTGCAAGTGAAAATGAGACTAACAAATTTTTTTGTTTTGGCTTAATAAAACCAAGAATCTGCATAAAAACTATGACATATTA